GCTTTTGTCCTACCTGGCAAAATCACGGTCACCAATGCAGGTCTATTTGACCTCTTTTAGTTGAAGATTGCTGTAAGGATTGGATTTTATTTCAGATTCATCATGCTTCACTACAAACTCTCCTCCTTCAGGAATCAGCTGAAAACTCATCACCCATCGCCATAGTAACCACTCCTGTGCTGTTAAAAGGGAAAGCACACACATTTTTTTACATTAATTGTCAAACACACGTACCCTCTACATACTCAGTGCACCTGTTTTTGTCGAGCCTTAAAAGAGAAAATGTGAAGAAAGAGAACACGAAAGACAGAAGGAGATTCCCAATAAGTTCACGCTTTTGTTTTTGCTCCGTCTCAGTGACTTCTATCACAGCGGTTATGGTGAGGAGGCTGACAGCGTGTCTCTGAGGGTCTCCATTGTGCTCACTGCAGAAAACAACTTTCAAATGCCTTGGTGTTGTTTTCTGAGGGTGATGGGGCAGTTGGGTTTAGCAGTGTTATGTTAGTGTGTTTACTATTATAGTTTTTATTATTATTAGGAATTAAGCCCCCCCTCCCATTTAATTTTAGTTAATGTTTTAACCCTTAAATGCATAAATGTTTATCCAATCATTATTAGCCTACATATCTACGCAATTGGACCCTATTCACATTTCCGGGGTTCTCAGAGTCAGTTGGATAAGTTTAGTGACGTTTTGTTTCGCCGTTGGACTGATTTCACACACGTGCTTCAGACACAATCATGCAGAAGTGTTCTCAAAGCATCATACTACTATGACACAGCATCTCCTTTCTTTCTCGGGAAATAAAGGTTACATGAACATCACGTCATCATAATTGTGTATCTGACATGGCCACCGTAAGGAATAAATGTGAATTGCACTTATTTAGTCATCAATTATTGTTGCGCAGAATTCAAATATTCATTCAGAATTCATTGAATTTATATTGTTGCACAGATTCATTTATTGTTGGGCAGAAAAAAAATAGGCTACATGTAAGATGTATACTGTGATATATATCAGGTTGCTAGCGAACCTACACACTTTTTACAAAAAAAAAAGATTAGTAAACAGATATTCTATTAATAATTTTGTTGTGCGTTTCAGTGTTATTTTAGTATCGAGTTATTTTTTTTATTTCAGTATTTTCCATTTTCTTTTTAATTTTAGTTAGCGTTTTAATCATTTAGTTGTGTGTTTTTATAGTTTTTTTTATGTTTTTTTAAGTTTTAGTTATTTTAGTATATACACAAACTATATGAAACAGAAATGTTATGAGACTGAGAAATTTATTTTATTTCAGGTGACGTTTATTTTATTTCAAGTAATGACAATGTTTTTAGTTATAGTTAATTACAATAATGTCTCGGTTACATACAGTACAGGGAACGGAGACGTGTCATCGGGGAGTTCCCTGACGAATTGGGATCACGCTAGGTAGCCTATTGCCTTCGAGAGAATTAAAACCAGGCAATAAATATTGGCACGCAAGATTTGCATTCCGCAAGCCATCTACCAGCACGGTTATAAAAGGCGGAAGTAAAGGCGTAAGGCGCTTTTCACTGAGGTGCCGAACAGAGTCCAGTCCTCCGCGAAGGTACAGCAACATGGCGAACACGGTGGTCCGCCACGTCTGGCACCGAAGGGGCAATGGAGGAACTCACAAGGCTCACCAACATAGGGCGCCAACGGAGCAGAAAGATGCACGTATCCGCTCGAGGCACGGAGTGGCTTAGCAAGCCAACACAACCTATTCCCTCGCACCACTGGCCGTACTGTAAGCGAGGCGCCTTGAGCCTTGAACACCCAGGAGGCGGCAACACCTCTAGTAGAGTGAGCGAGCAACCTGGGAGGACAAGGCTCACCCGTAGCTTCATATGCTCGGGTGAAAGGATCCACTAACCAGTGAGGTAACCTCTGCTTGGAGACAGCCTTCCCCTTCTGCTGGCCTCTGTAACAGACAAAGAGCTGATCTGAGGTCCTGAAGCTTTGCATTCGGTCAATGTAAACCCGTAAAGCGGACGGGACAGAGAAAAGCCAGAGCTGGGTCTGCCTCCTCCTGGGACAGCACTTGCAGGTTTACTACCTGATCCACGAAGGGAATAGTAGGAACCTTGGGCACATATCCGAGCCGGGGTCTCAATACCACATGAGAAAGGTCCGGCCCAAACTCTAGGCATGATTTTTCGACCAAAAAAGCCTGCAGATCCCTGACCCTCTTAAAAGAGGCCAATGCCAACAGGAGTGCTGTCTTAATGGACAGGATATTTAGCTCCACTTTCAGGAAAGGCTCAAAGGGAGGACTTTGAAGAGCTCTCAGTACCAAAGCTAAGTACCCTTAAGGAATCTGGTGATGAGGTCGTGCTTCCACACAAATTTATCTTCAACAATATCGTGATGTGCGGCTATCGACGAATAGGTTCCACTTCAACGCATAGAGGTGCCTTGTAGAGGGGGCTCTAGCAGAAGTGATGGTGTCACCTAGAACCTCCATGTCCCGTCCAGGGACCAGGGTCTGGACGTGGGTGCCATAGAGTGCCCCGTTTTTGAGAAAGGAGGTCCTTGCTCAGAGGAATCGGTCAAGGAGGGGCTGTCATGAGGAGCATGAGTTTCGTGAACCAAGTCCTTCTAGACCAATACGGCACCACAAACAGGACCTGCTCCTCCTCCTCCCTGACTTTGCACAGAGTCTGTGCGAGAAGGCTCACCGGGGGAAACGCATACTTGTGCAGGTCCCGGGGCCAGCTGTGAGCCAGGGCTGAGGGTCCCCTCGAACAGGGAGTAAAACCACTAGCAATGGGTCGTGTCCGGAGAGGCAAACAGGTCCACCTGTGCGACTCCGAAAACACTCCAAATCAGCTGAACCGCCTGGGGATGGGGTCCAGTGGCACCGCTGTCCTGCCTTGAAAGGACCTGAGGCAGGTGAGCACAGACTGGACGTGTTCCTCCATGAGCTGCGCCGCTTGGGTGACCGAATCGAACTCCATACTGAGATAAGAGATCCTCTGCATGGGGCAGAGTTTGCTCTTGTCCCAGTTGACCTGAAGCCCCAACTGGCTGAGGTGACATAGTACCATGTCCCTGTGATCGCACAACACATCTCATAAGTGATCCAGAATGAGCCAGTCGACGAGATAGTTGAGAATATGAATGACTTGTTCTCTCATGGGAACAATGTCCTCCTCCGCGATTTTTGCGAAGATGCGGGCTGACAGGGCCTGCCCGAAGGACTTTGTACTGATATGCTCGACCCTCGAAAGCAAACCGTAGAAATGGTCTGTGTCAAGGAAGAATCGAGACGTAAAAGTACGTGTCCTTCAGGTCGATCGCTGCAAACCAGTCCTGGGGACGGATGCATTTGAAAATGCGCTTCTGCGTGAGCATTTTGAACGGGAGTTTGTGCAGGGTCCGATTCAAAGCTCACAGGTCCAGGATTGGCCATAACCCACAGCCTTTCTTGGGTACAATGAAGTAGGGGCTGTAAAACCCAGACCTCATCTGCAGGATGTGCCGTATCGTCTCCGACTGCTCCTGGGCAACGGAGAACTCTTGGGCCAAGCTCTCCACCGCATCACCGAAGAGGCCGCCCTAGGATCAGCCACAGGTGGCGCTCCTGGACCACCAAGGTGGACATCGCCCGACCTAGCGGTGACTTTCGTTGCCCGGAGGGCGAGGACCGGCGCCGCACGCAGCTCCTGCAGCAAGGCTGGGTCGGGACCACCCGCCTGCAAGCCATGGAACGCTCCAGCCTGATGGACTTGACATCTGATCCTCAGTTGGCGCCCCGAAGGAAACAACCGGAACCACCCAAGGGGACCCTGACCGCTCAACCGGAAGCTCCACCAATGGCAACAAGCTAGTAGAAGCATGAGAACCCCAATAAGATCTTTCACCAGTCGAAACATTCTTCACGGTAATCCTCATCCACTCACCAACAGGAATCACCAAAGTACCTGCATGCTGGACTGAACCAGCAGACGAACTAGAATAAGGGTTTTCTGAAGGTGAAAAGGAAAAGGACGCAAAACACCCGCAAAGCTCTTTTGTGAGGAAGAAAGCGCGCTCTCTTGCGTGCCAAAGCACCGAGGGATCACCGCGACAGACAGACGGAAAACTGCTAGCCTGTGTGCTGTACTGAACCAGATTTTGCCGGGAGAAATGATGATCACTGCCTTGCCATCACACCAGCACCCAAGAGGACCTTCTTCTCTTCCCAATGACTCATTAGAAACCTTTTCTCTCTCCAACTTCGGCAACAGCAGTTCACTGTGAGGCTCCAAAGAAAAAAGCGTCATGCAATGTTTACTTCCGCCTTTTATACCCACGCTGGTAGGTGGCTTTCGGAATGCAAATCTTGGATGCCAATATTTATTGGCTCATTTTTAATTCTCTCGAAGGCAATAGGCTCCCTAGCGCGATCCCAATTCGTCAGGGAACTCCCCGACGACGCATTGGAGTTCCCAGGATGAAAGGGAACCATGGTTTATAGCAGCCTTGAAATATGGCATGTTCTGACACGACTGCTTCCATCCCATGGGATTTACATCACCTTTTTTTTAAGAAACAGGGACGCAATCAAATGTGTTGGGGTGGGTTGTGTGTGTGTGTGCGTCTTAGAAGGTGATCAAGCTTTCTCTGTAGTCGCCCCAAAGCTCTTGAACAATTTACCTTTAGACATCAGGACCTCTCCATCTCTGGTTGGTTTTAAATCCAGCTTAAATACCTATTTTTACTCTCTTGCATTCAAGTAATGTTGTGTATGTATTTTAAATAAGTCTGTGTTATGTATGTATGGATATGCACTGAATGTTTTTGATACTTAATTTTTATCTCCTTTTTCTAGTACTACTTTATTTTATTTTTATTGATTTATCTTATTATATTTTAAAGCACTTTGGATCAAATACGGTTGTGTTAAACTTGAGCTCTATAAATAAAACTTGACTTGTCTTGGAGATAAATAGAATTGCTCACATTTGACACATTTCTCTCCAATCAGGGTGAAGAAGATGATGAGGATGATCAGCCTCTTAGCCTGTCATGGCCAGAGACTGGCCCCAAGCGTTTCACGTATCTCTTAATCCTTCCCATAGTGTTCCCTTTGTGGATAACTTTGCCAGACGTCAGGAAGTCTGTGAGTACTTTTTGACTTGTTGTGTTGCAATTGCAAGCTGGATGTAACTTTTAAAATGCTTCTTGTCTGTTTTTTTCCTTAGAGTTCAAAGAAGTTTTTTCCTGTGACATTTCTGGGGGCGATTTGCTGGATCGCAGCGTTCTCCTACTTGATGGTCTGGTGGGCTCATCAGGTAAGATTTCTGCAGCTAACAAAGTACACTTCAGCATTCTGTTAAGAATATCACTTATTACAGAAATAATATATTTTAAAAGAATATACTTATAAGTGTGAACATGTCATTTCATAATTAGTTCTATTGTCTTTATAATTTGGTTAAAGTGTTCTGCTGAATGATCTGACAAGCATTATAGAAAATTTAAATAGAAATAAATATAAGCTCTATTGAAACTTGTATGTCATGTTTTTAAATATATTTGCACGTTTTTAATTATGATGTTTTAATAATTCAATGTAGTAAAAAAATATTTATAAGTAAAGTGTTTAAGTTAACATTATTACAACTTGCCCTTATTAAAAGTGTACTTAAGTGTGTTAAAAAAATGTGGTCATGAAAGTGTGCTCTTTTATCATTTATTGGATCTCTACTGGCAGTGCGCTACTGATGTTAAGCCCAATTGGGATTTGAGGCCAAATATTTCTGTGCCAGTTTATGATCTTCACCAGTCTGGTTGCTTTATGGTAATATTCCTGCAGGTTGGAGAGACTATAGGAATCACAGAGGAGATCATGGGCCTGACAATTCTAGCAGCTGGAACCTCCATCCCTGACCTTATTACCAGTGTCATTGTGGCCCGCAAGGGTCTGGGCGACATGGCTGTGTCCAGTTCTGTGGGCTCTAATATATTCGACATTACTGTGGGGTAGGTATTTTTATTCTTTTTATTTTGTTAAATAAATTAATACTTTTATTCAGCAAGGATGTGTTAAATTGATCAAAAGTGACAGTAAACTAGACTGGGAAAACCGAGACAACTTCCAGCAAATTTAGATTTGCTCTGAAAGTTTGGAGAACTGTTTGGCTAACAGTAAACCCATTTGTGTTAAAAAATATATATATATCATATTTCAAATAAATACTGTTCTTTTAAACTTTCTATTCATCAGAAAAAAAAATCACAGTTTCCAAAAAAATATGAAGCAGTGCAACTGTTATCAACATTGGTAATCAATCATATTAGAATGATTTCTGAAAGATCATGTGACACTGAAGCCTGGAGTAAGGATGCCGAAAACTTGAGCTTTGCTTCAAAGGAATAAATAACATTTTACCATATATTACAATAAAAACAGTTATTTTAGATTGTAATCATATTTCACAATATTACTATATTTTTGATCAAATAAATGCATCCTTGGTGAGCATATACTGTATATGCTTATCTTAATACAAGACGAGGAGGAAAGATTGAGTGGCCCAAATCTCTCCAAGGATCACAGATGGAGATTTGCAGAGATTAGTTGAGTCTCAGGGTCAGAAAGCCTTAAAAAAATCAAACAACCACTACATCGCCACAAGTTGTTTGGGATGGTTTCAAGAAAAATCCTCCTCGCTCATCCAAAAACAAACTCCAGCATATTTAGTTCTTTTAGTTCTGGAACTTCAAAACTGACCGGATTCTATTGTACTATGTGCCTGCTGGGATCCATTCTGGACCACATGTATGCAGAAGACACACAGTTATATTTGTCAAAAGCACTCAGTTTTGGTTGTTTTTATTGTCCCGTTTCCTTTCAAGGGAACTCGCGCTGTGTCGATTGACACTAAGGGAACTGTGTGTGTGATGATGTATTGAGGCACATGTAAAATCAGTCCAATGGTGTGACGGAATATCAGAGGTACCAGGAGACTATAAAGGCCTGCCCAAACAAAGCAGCGTTAGCTTCTATGTCTACACAAGCGCTCTGTGTGAAACAGTCTCTGTCATATTTGGTGTTGTCTGATATATATCATATCAAGTATATCAAGTGTTACAGCGCAGTCTCATCCCAAGACGTCATTTAACTGACGTCTTGGGACGTCTTTTGACCATACGTCGGTTAGATGATGTTATCGGATCCTAACCCTACCCCAGACCTAAACCTACCCCGTCACCTAACTGACGTTAAAGGTAATGCGTCAGTTGTATGACGTCTCAGGATCGTCATGTAACTGATGTTAAAGGGTACCCTAAAACGGCGGATGTTGACGTATGGTCAAAAGACGTCCCGAGACGTCAGTTATATGATGTCTTGGGATGAGACTGTGTTAAAGTGAGTGTATATAATATTATTAGGAACACCTGTTCAATTTATTCATTAATACAATTATCTAATCAATCAATCAATCAATCAATCACATGGCAGTTGTTTTAATGCATTTAGGGATGGGGTCCTGGTCAAGACAATCTCCTGAACTCCAAACTGAATGTCAGAATGGAAAAGAAAGGTGATTTAAGCAATTTTAAGCGTGTAATGGTTGTTGATGCTAGACGGACTGGTCTGAGTATTTCACAATCTGCTCAGTTCCTGGGATTTTCACACACAACCATTTCTAGGGTTTACAAAGATTGGTGTGAAAAGGGAAAAACATCCAGTATGCGGCAGTCCTGTGGGTGAAAATACCTTGTTAATACCCTTTATGGCCACCATGTACCCATTCTCTGATGGCTACTTCCAGCAGGATAATGCACCATGTCACAAATCTTGAATCATTTCAAATTGGTTTCCTGAACATGACAATGAGTTCACTGTACTAAAATGGCCCCCACAGTCACCAGATCTTAACCCAATAGAGCATCATTGGGAAGTGGTGGAACGGGAGCTTTGTGCCCTGGATGTGCATCCCACAAATCTCCATCAACTGCAAGATTGTATCCTATCAATATGGGCCAACATTTCTAAAGAATGCTTTCAGCACCTTGTTGAATCAGTGCCACGTAGAATTAAGGCAGTTCTGAAGGTGAAAGGGGGTCAAACACAGTATTAGTATGGTGTTCCTAATAATCCTTTAGGTGAGTGTATATATTGTCTATTTGAGCATGGTGAGCAAGCAGCAGTTTAGAGTCTGTGTGCACCCCTGCCCCCGTTATTTAACGGGTAGGGACACACATGCTTTATGTGTTGTTTGTTTGGGTGAAGAGCATGCACGGTCAGCACTCAAGGGCGCTGGCTGTGAGCATTGTGATGTGCTTCCCTTGGGGTCCCTTGCCGATCCCACCTGGTGTTCTTTAGCGAGGACGCCTAGGCTTGCGTTTTCCAAGGCTCAGGTCCTGCTGCTGCCGGGGCACAGCGAAGGCTTTAGACTTGGGGTTTGCAAATGGATCTGTCAGCGGGGTTAGAGTTGGGCCTAGCCTTATCTCTGCCCTCACCTGACAGATCTAGTGTCTTGTGTCAGGGTTCGGAAGCACGCACTGCGGTTTCTTCCGCCCCAATCAAGGCACCAACATTACAGATATCTAGCTCAGGGGAACTAGATGTTGTTGGTGTTGATGCACAAGATACTGAGGATTCACCACCTCATTCTCATACATTTTAAAAACCTCGTTGAGGTTGTAACGAGAGCGGTCGCAAGATTAAACATCGATTGGCCGACAGATAAGCAGGACATTCGTTCAAAAAGTAAACTCAACAAACGCTCTCTGCTCTCTCGTTCACAACCTCAACGTCGGGGCCTTCCGTTTTCCCCCAATCTCCACACCGAGGTGTCGAGATCATGGGAGAAACCTGTGTCATGTAGAGTCTACAGAGCACAAACATCTCACTATTCTTCTATGTCACAATATAAAGAGCATGCTTATGTGGAGATGGCAAATGTGGAAGAGATGCTCACGAGCTATCTCTCCCCTGAGTCTGCATCTTCCCTCAAGGCCCTGGTATTACCCACCAAGCCAGTTAAAGTAACATCAGGTTTGGTGGGTAAGGCTTTTTCAGTGGCTGGTCAGGCTGTAGCGTGTCTCCACACCATGACACTACTGCAGGCTTAACAGGCTGAAGAGTTAGGAGATCTAGGCAGGCGAGGGTTTTGGCCTGAACATTGTTTGTGCCACTGAATGAAAATGGATGCTCCTATTTCTTCCTGTGGCCTCTTCGCAGTAAACTTGGTCGTTGAGAGGTTCCAGGAGTCAGCCAAGCAAGCGGCTGCCTTCCATACACTCCTCCCTCGCTGGCATCAAATTTTTGATAGCATGGAAGCTAATGCCAAATATTTCTCGTTGGGTCCTGCAGACCATAGAATGGGGTTATCAAATATAGTTTGGGTCTTGCCCACCCAGGTTTATTGGGTCCTACCCACTGTGGTGGGCCCTGAGCAGGTTCTGGTAATGGAACAAGGAGTGAACATAGTGTTGGACATAGAATATTTACCTCTCTCCAGCAGGGACACGAGGTTTTACAGTTGTTTTTTCTTCAATCCAAAAATGGATGGGGGGCTGCGTCCCATTTTGGATCTAAGAGTTCTGAACGAGTCAGTCATACAACTAAAATTCAAAATGTTATTCAAAATTCAAAATTTTAAGAAAAATCGTGTCACAGATCAGATCAGAGGACTGGTTTGTCATGATAGATCTCAAGGACACATACTTCCACATTTCCATCCTTCAATATCACAGGAAGTTGCTGAGGTTCGCTTTCAGGGTGCAAAGCATACCAATATCGAGTTCTTCCGTTCGGCCTTGCACTATCACCCCGCACTTTCACAAAATGCGTAGATGCAGCTATGGCGCCTATGCTTCTACAGGGTATTCGCATCATGAACTACATCGATGATTAGTTGATTTTAGCTCAGTCACATCATTTGGCGGTTCGGCATTGAGATGCCCTTCTCGCCCATATGAGATAGCTGGGGTTATGGCTAAATGCCAAGAAGAGTGTGCTTTCTCCATTACAGAGGACAACTTTTCTAGGTGTGGTGTGGGATTCTATGTTGATGCAGGCATACCTATCTCCAGCATGCATAGAGTCCATTCTGTCAGCCGTGAAAAGAATAAAGCTAGGCAAGTCACTCACTGTAAAACAGTTTCAGAGACTGGGTTTGATGGCAGCAGCGTCCAACGTGATACCTTTTGGACTTCTGTACATGAGACCCTTGCAGTGGTGGCTCAGGACCAAAGGGTTTTCCCCAAGGGGCAACCCCTTTTGCATGATCAGAGTTATGTGGCGATGCTTACATGTGCTGGATATGTGGAAGAAACATTGGTTCCTGTCCCAGGCTCCCGTGTTGGGAGTTTCTTGTCATCGCAGAATGCTAATGACAGATCCCTCCCTCACAGGCTGGGGAGCGATCCTGGAAGGACGCTTTTCTCAGGGTCTATGGGGGGGACCATCATCTCTCCTAGCATATCAATCGCCTAGAGATGATGGCTGTATTTCTTGCTCTCAAGAATTTCCTTCCAGACCTCAGGGGCCACCATGTGTTGGTCCACACAGACAATACATCGGTGGTCGCCTACATAAATCATCAGGGGGGTTTACGGTCACGCCCGCTATGCAAAACTGGCACACCAAATCCTCCTGTGGTCTCAGGGAAAGTTGCTCTCACTCAGAGCGGTTTACATCCCTGGGGCCCAGAACATAGAAGCAGACATCCTGTCGAGGCAGGGGCCGAGGCCCAGGGAATGGAGGCTCCATCCCGAGGTGGTGAAGCAGATATGGAGGGATTTCGGCCAGGCTCAAGTGGATCTGTTTGCGTCTCGAGAGACGTCTCACTGTCGACTCTGGTTCTCCCTCATGCATCCAGCTCCTCTCGGACTGGATGCAATGGTACAGACGTGGCCGAGGCTATGTTTGTATGATTTCCCCCCGTTTGTTCTGCTCCCAGGAGTTTTGAAATAGTTTGCAGGGGCAATCTGCGCCTACTGACCATCTGCGCCTACTCTGCCCATGGTGGCCGGGCAGAGTATAGTTCCCAGATCTTGTGTCTCTCCTCAATGGGTCTCCTATGGAGCTCCCCGTCAGGAGAGACCTTCTGTCCCAAGCAGAGGGCTCTATTTTTCACCCTCGTCCTGAACTGTGGAACCTGTGGGCTTGGCCTCTGAGGGGGGCCAGCTCATAGAGTCAGGTCTCTCAACTGAGGTTGCGGAGACCATTCTACAATCCAGAGCTCCCTCCACAAGGAAACTTTATGCCCTGAAGTGGAAGGTTTTCAATTCATGGTGTAGTGACTGTCAGCTGGACCCAGCATTGGACTGATTTTACATGTGCATCAATACATCATTACGCAAAGCATTCCCTTAGCATCAATCGACGCAGTGTCTCGTTCCATCTTCAGGGAACCAAGGTTACAGTCGTAACCGAGGCGGTTGTTTTCATCAGTCAAGTGTGTTTTTTTTTTGTCTTAGTTTCCCACCAGTCATCAGTTGTCATGGATCATCACACCTGTTTGTCATCTCCTCATAATCACTGTTTAAGTCCCTCACCTCTCTTTGTTTGTAGGTTGTTTTTGTGCATGTGTTACACACAATGTTATGTTGCCTTCATCTTCGCATATTACCTGAGTTTGTTTTCATTAAAATACACTCATTGAACGCTCCATTTTCTTTTTGTGACAATATTTACCACTTAAAGCTGGAAATGAGCAGTATTTGAAGTCTCTATTGTTCTGTCTAAATGAGGTCAAAGTCTAATAACTTTCTTCAGCTTAATGAAAGAAAATCTGAGATGATACTTGGTCCACCAAATGTAAAAGAGATGATAGCCAGTACTATTGGATAGCCAGTACTACTTCCCTAGGAATAATGGTGAAAGACCGTGTTAAATGTGTTTTTCCAATCTTCTATTGTCCACTTTTGGTCAACCCTGCTCTCTTTCCTGCTCTTAGCTGACAGGCTTGGCACCAGGTGTGATCTTCTGCTGCTGTCTACCTGCAGCATACCCCAGTTGTACTAAGTTGTTATTTGAGATACTGTTGCCTTTCTATCTATATATATATATGAAGAGTTCAGATGCAAAAGCCTCTAAGTGCCATTTGAAATTTTCTTCTAAAATGATCATTTTTATCAAGCTTGTATATTTAAGTTCAGTGATTTCACTCAAATGGCAATGATAATTATATTAATTCTTATTTAAGTTAAAGTACTGAACTTAAATATACAAGTTTGATAAAAATCATCATTAAAGAAGAAAATTTCAAATGGCATTTAGAGGCTTTTGCATCTGAACTGTTCATATATATAGTACTGTGCAGAAGTCTTAGGCACACTAGTATTTTCGCCTCAAAGAAATGGCTTTAAGCCAGTTATTTATATATTTTATTGTAGTGTCTCAGTAAGAAATATCAGTTTACATTTCCAGATCCAGACATTAATTGTGCCATTAATTGTAATAATCTAGTGAAATTTTTGAATGCACAAGGATTCTGACAACAGCCAATGCTCCACACGGAGGTCGGATCTCACCATCATCGAGTGCATCTGAAATCATATGAATAAACAGAAAAAACAGAGACTAATACCAGAAGAACTGCGGCAACGTCTCAAAGGTAGTGCCTGCCTGCCTGCAAAGCTACTGTGAAAAAGCACTTGTGTAAAAATGCTGTAAATGTTTTCAAAAATAATGTCATAATCATAAATAGATTTTATTTATCAATTCACTTTTATTAGTTAACTATTATTAACTGTTATTAACTTTGAACAGTTAACTAAATCAAATCAATAGGTGTTTAGTACCCTTTACGTTTAAAACAGCTTTTGTCCAGGTATTGCACAGTTTTTAGTTTTGCAGGTTTTGTCAAGCATCTTTGGAAACGTTGCCGCAGGTCTTCTGGTCTTAGTCTCTGTTTTTTCTCTTTCTTCATATAATTTCAGATGCACTCGATGATGGTGAGATCTGACCTCCGTGTGGAGCATTAGAATCCTTGTGCATTCAAAAATTTCACTGGATTATTACAATTAATGGCACAATTAATGTCTGGAAATGTAAACTGATATTTCCTACGGAGACACTACAACAAAATATATAAATAACTGGCTTAAAACGATTTCTTTGAGGCAAAAAATACTAGTGTGCCTAAGACTTCTGCACAGTACTGTATATATATGTGGCACGTACTTTGAGAGGCAGCTCACTTGGTTAATGTTTTGTTTAGTAAAATTCAGTTAATGTTTTGTTCTGTACATTTATGATGTTCAGAGCCCTAAACTTATTTCTTTTTTTTCTTTTTTTTCAGGTTACCGTTCCCATGGCTTCTGTACTCCTTTATAAACAATATGAGCCCAGTAAGGGTGAGTAGTAACGGCCTGTTCTGTGCCATCGTGCTACTCTTCCTCATGCTCATCTTCGTCATCATCTCCATTGCCGCCTGTAAGTGGAAAATGAGCAAACTGCTGGGCTTCATCATGTTCCTGCTCTATATTGTCTTCCTGGTGGTCAGCGTCCTGTTGGAGGACAAGTACATCGCCTGTCCTATCTCTATCTAACGTCTGTTCTCATTTACACACACACACACCAACATGAAGCTAAATTCATGTACCTGCTGACTTTACCTCACCTCTGTAGTGATTTTATTTACTTTTGACCTTATGACAAAGAATTTCTGGCCTGTGTGTGTTTATGGGGTTTTACACACTTAAACAAATGTTTTAATATGAATATTTTTCTTGTTTTCCAATAAAAATATCTAAATATCCTAATAGAAGATAACTGAGATAACAGAAAATTGAACTGTCTACTTGTTTTCAGAGAATATATCTATTATATTTAAACAGAATATATCTGTTTATTTCTGGTAGACGTTTTTTCTTCTCGGTTTAAGAATAAACGTAAAAATTGTTGCATTTTTCTTAAAACAAAAATAAGATAAGTATCACTACTATCACTACTTTCACTTTTTGTTTAGTTTTTTTTTTTTTTTTCCAAACTCTTTGAAGTGCAATTGAAGGTATGAGATGATCTTAAACTAGGGCTGTAACGGTTCACCAAACTGAAAATGGTTCATAACTGATTACACACTCTAGTACAAAATCATGTTCACTGGATGAGATTCATCGACAGTGTTAAAACCTCAGATTTTATAGATTTATTTATTCATTTTCAAACAACATGCAAGTTCAGTTTGCGCAGTGGTTCAAGAGCCAAAGAGCAACACGGATGGAGCTCTCCGAATGATCTCTGATTATTTCTTCAGTGGCACATCAGCGCTTTATTCACTCTGTAGGAGGCACTAAGGATTTATAACCAGACAGACGCTGTGATTATAGCAGCCAGTGCTTGGTCATTTCTCAGTCTCTGTCGGGCAATTGTTCACTCAGTGAATGTGCTGCACTATTGACTAATATGTGGTCTGGAGGAATCTTTCCATGATATGACTGATATATTCTTCAAAATAGTTTTGACTTTGCATGAGCTAATGGCCATTGTTCTTTTTCTGATTTTTTTATTATAATTTTATTTAATATTTCTATTACGTTTGTATGCTAAACACACATGTTGAGAACATGAGAAAACTTTCTTGTAATGGTGGTAGTAAATAGAAGTACAGTGTATGCTGCATGTTTGACAATTCCAGCACGTTTTAATGGGTATTTATTTATATTTTGTTTATTTACATAATATAATCCCGCCAGCAGACCGATATAATATAGCTTTATAATATATAGCAAATAAACAAACAAAAACGTTTATTTAATGTTTATTTTTTTATGAAATGGAAATTCTTTTAATCATAATGCAATGCTAAATTAGTCTGTTAACCATTACCTCCCTAGCATTAATAAAATGACAGACAAAGATTGACTTATAATGTATTTTAGATACAGTGGAGTTATTTATTGATCTGTTGAATGTTAAAGCAAAACACCTTCAAAGATAATAACTCTTTATTATTTTTCAGTTTCAGTTCTGCTCTGTTGTTTCAGTTTATGGTGAATGTGTGTATTGGCTGCCACTTGTGTTCATTGGAAACATTGGCGAATATTATATTTAGGTGGGGTTTTTTTCTGGACCCAGGATGCCATTCTGGATTTATTTTAACTGATTATTTATAGAATGTTAATTTAAGCATTTCGATATATTTGTGTGTTTTGTTTTGTTTTTCTTTACATGTTGCCTGTGTGTCAAGAGGCCAAAGTAGCCAGAACATTGAATTTTTGACATACTGTTTAACCTGGCATGTCATCCTTCCTCTGTAGACACTGTTTCTATCCTTTTATTTTAGTTTTTATTTCAGGGAACCACAAATGAGCAAAATGACTGCATGTTGCTTCCCCAAGTATAGAACAACAACAACAAAACCCTCTTTAATATTCACTCATTTATAGAAAAATCGCGTTAAATAATAGTATAAATGCGATGAAAATGTGTAGATGCTTATAGTCTGTAGTTAAGTGTAAATAAAACAACCTAGAAAAAAAATTATATAGCACTCCCAGCTGCTGAAACGACGTGCAGTGATTTCCCTAAATAGTCGGCGTAGCACAATCCCTGTATTTGGACTGGAAATCAGTCCATTCCGAGACGGTAAAGTAGGCAAAAAGTTTCGATGCATGCATGAAAATGTGTAACCTAATTCAAGATGTGCTCATTGCTTTACTGTAAGGTTAAAAGACCAAATATTTGCATAATGGGTTGCTTAACAAATAGTCCTTCGGCAACGAAAGAGTAATGTGCTAGCACTGTCATAAGTTCTCTAGATGAGTAAAAACCACAAGATTTTATGAGTAGCGTGATCCATGTTACCACTAAGGGTGCTTAGGACTCTTTGTAATCTGTACAGACACTAACTAACTAATACAAGCGCAGAACTCGCTGATCAAGAACATAACACTGTAACTAAACACTATAAAACTTCTTCCAAATAGTGCATTAATTTGTGGAGGCAGTCGCTCTATTTGTATATTTTTTTTGGAGGCAGACGATTTATTTGTAAAAAAAAGACAAACAAAAAAAATGTATTAGTATTTTGAAAAAAAATAAATGTTGGCTTTACACAAGTCGAATGCAGATGCCTACAGGCGTACCTTAGCAAATACTGCCCTCTAGTGTGCCATCTTTATTTTTGTAGCTATGATTCAAACAAACACAGATCTAAACAAAGTCTTATGTTTCCCTTTCGTTCAGTGTTTACTCCACCAACGCCTGTTGTAAACCTATTCTTTGTGAACGCATACACTGAAATGCTTAAGCCTAAATGTATGGCTGTGTTTATATTTTATGATTTTTTGGAAGAAAAGATAATATCCTTGTCAGCCCAATATGTTATAGACATCATATTTATTTCTTTAGCAAAAAATACTTTATTTTCCAACGCTGTAAGCTATTTTCTATTTTCTGTGAATGTGCAGGCTTCCGAATCATTAGCCGCTTAAAATGAAGAGTAATAAAATAGCCAACAATAAACTGTAATTATTTGCACCACAAACCAGTGTTTGTTTATAAGTATGACAATGTATTAATATGGTAAGAAATACCAGTTTGCAATATCAAACAACAAAAAGAGCTGTTTTGATACAGCTTAAAATAAGCGGATGAACCGGGAAGCCAGATACATTCAGTTTACAAATGGCCGCTCTTACATTTAAAAATAAGGTGGATGCAAATTTTATATTTCTGCATGTATCTTTCCATTTCAGCGGTCCACGGGTTACATCTGGAAAGAACTGTAAGGCTTTTATTTTCTGAACCAATAAATTGTATTTCAGCAGATCTGACTGACAAAGGGAACATGTGAATGTGTAGGCTATTAAATATATGAATATGGAGATATTGAGTATTTATTATATGAATGAACATAGAAAAAGTTAAAATGCTCAAACGTCGAAAGGTTTTTTAAGAAAAAAGATGTCACTGATTAAAGCAATGTAGCTATTTCTAGGCATGTTTTCTCGTTTTCCCCCCATATTTTAACACTCAAATTTACGTATCATAGTAGGCCTAGTCTTCTATCCTAACTTGTTACACCTTGATATGTATGAATTTTCCTCATTGACATCTGCCTTTCATAATTATTTTTATGTGTTTTGTCTTATAAGAGGGCTGTTGAAATACTCAGTATTCAAGTGGCCCTGCTTTATCCTGTTCCATGCTTTCTTGCAGGGTAAGGGCTATTTTAATTTGAATTCTGTCTTGTGTCAAACATAGCAACATTGATATGCACTTTGCATAATTACGTGTCTGTTTATTTAGCCTATTGTTTGTTTGCTCTGAATGAGACTGAAGCTGAATGCTTGGCCTGAATTGACATAAATCTGCAGTTAAATATTTTCGTTTAGACTTTAAAAGAGTGAAAATGCTAATTATGTTCACTTGTTCTCTTTCTGGCCCCTGTCTCTGTCTCCACTGTTGTCTTTCTTTTTTCATGAATCTGCACTTTTGTACTGAATCACGAGACTCACGCCTAGTTATAGACATGGCATGCCAACAATAACTCCATCACTCAGTGTTTAATGTTCCATTACACGTGAGTAATTCCGAATGTACATATATAGATACTAATAAAATCAGAATATAGAGAAACTGTTTATGTAAATGCAAAGTATGTAATAAAAGAAATAAAGGCAAATATAAGGGCAAACTTTCTGTGGTGAATGAAGTTTTTCATAGCAATTGCAAAGATGTGAAATAAAATTGAAACTCACTCACCAACAGGACTCCATTTTCTTTATTCTACACATAAAATATATATTCCCACTTTATATTGTCTTATAACTACAGTTTTTCACAAGACACTAAACCCCATTCCCTGTGACCGCATTCTCAAAGGCCTAAATCTCATTCAGCAAAACCTTAAAGTTCAGGCAGTTAGACACCATTTGCAAATCGCATTCTTTGTTCAAATCTCTGAACACATTCTCACTCACTAAAACACATTTTGCACATTTTGTCGCAAAACAGTATGGAAAAGTTAAACACAACTACACAGTTGTCATTGTTTACACAATGGCTCAAAATGGTTCACACTTGTTTCTAATGATGTGAACCAACTGTACAATATTACAGTTATAAGCCATAAATGGATGGAAATATGAGGAGGAAGAGTTCTGTGCAATAGAGGCATAGGATGAGGAAAAGAAAGAGCATGTGTTGTCAAGGCTCGATCCTGCACACAAGGGTTTTTCCTTTTGACTGGTAATAGACTCCATTGCTGTGAAATCCTATTGCTGTGATGTGGAGCCCTAAGGCCAGACCCAGCACGGAAATGTGAATTTTCAGTTACACATCTTTTGGGAACACTTTAATTAAGGGTGAAGTAGTTACACATTAGTACATGTACTTACTACAGTATAGTAATAACAGTAAATTGTGCATAATTACAAGTAACTAACTCTAAACCAAACCCTAGCCATAGTAAGTACATGTAGTTAGTTTTATTTATTTATTTTTTGTCAATTGCTAACAAGCATCATTCAATACTGAAGCCACATTTTCAAAACTCTTCACACATTCAGCTAAACAGAAGTCTGTGCGGACCAAACTGAATCGTTTTTCATTGCTTTCACACAAAATGCATTCAATGATAACATTTTCCAAAATCCATTAACACTTTTGACACTCATACTTCACCATCTACAAAAAACTATATGTCTGTAGCACATTTTTCGAATGCTGACACTGCTTTCAAAACTGATAAAAGCACATTCAAATGATTTTTTTTTTTTTTTTTTGAGAACCATATACACTAGGTCAAGGAAGACAGATTGGAAAAGAAGATTGGCATCTACACACCCTCACAGTATATCCATCCATCTATTCCATACTTTTTCAAAGCGCTTGTCCAAGGGTCATGGGGAGGCTGGAGTCTTTACCAGCGTTTCAGGTTGTATGTGTCGTGGCAGATTTCCAGTCCCAATTCAAATCATCAAAGTCTGGTTCAGGTCTTGAAGAAATTGCGCAGAGTCGAGGTTTCGGGTCTCAGAAGAAGTAACTTTATTGAACAATTCAACAAAGTGAGATGTCGGCCAGTCATCTAATCTTACAATGGTCTGCACTCTTCTTATACCTTGTGGTACCCAATTAGCGCTCAAATCGTTATCTTTTCTTCCTTTGCTCCTCCTTATTACTCCTCCCAGATTAAAACACCTGCATCATTATTTTATTTTTAATTGGGGAAACCTTCTTTGCGCATGTGTATCTCCTCCCAGATTAAAACCACCTGCATCATTATTTTATTTTTAATTGGGGAAACCTTCTTTGCGCATGTGTATCTCCTCCCAGATTAAAACACCTGCATCATTATTTTATTTTTAATTGGGGAAACCTTCTTTGCGCATGTGTATCTCCTCCCAGATTAAAATCACCTGCATCACTATTTTATTTTTAATTGGGGGAACCTTCTTTCCGCACGCATATCTCCTCCCAGATTAAAAACACCTGCATCATTATTTTATTTTTAATTGGGGCAACCTTCTTTGCGCATGCGTATCTCTTTCCAGATTAAAAACACCTGCATCATTATTTTATTTTTAATTGGGGCAACCTTCTTGGCGCATGCGTATCATTTTTTAAAAATGGCTTTATACATGATTTTCAGGTACTTTTTCATGCCTCTTTCACCAAGTTTCTTCTCCTGTCCTCACTTGACTAGCCTTTTGGCCTAATTTTTTCTGTTTGGCACAGACTTACATGCACACTTCTTTCACATGTACATAGGACAAGCAGAATTCCCCAACATATGCAGGAAAACACTCTGGAAAGATGACAGGATGGAAACACTCTGTCCATCACAGGGACGACACACACGCATGTATTCATATTCACACTCGCACCTACAGGCAAATGAACAATCTCCAATGTCCTGTATGGGTTAAACCCAGAAGAAACCAACGTCAACACGGAGATAACATATAAACATATTCTCATATTCTATTTCATTCTCATTCATTCTTTGCGCAGTAATACAGTCAGTATTAAACAATCTCACCATCACAGTTGTGTTCTGTTTAGTTTGTTTTCATTGGTCTTCATTTGTCACATGTCTTAATCACTGCCATAATCAGTTCATCTGTTTCACCTGTGTTCACTAAATTATCATCATCTGTGTTTGCATTTAAGTTCCTTCAGTTCAGTCAGTGTCGGTCCGATCTATGTGATAATGTGTGTTGCTCTAACCTGCTTATGTGTCTTTAGAAATAAATAAGTTGTTTGCTGTCAAAATGAATGGGAGTCAATGGGATGCTAACAGGATAAGGATTCGGTTAGAACTACAAAACACGTCTTAAGAAACTACAGACATGGAGGACACATGAGTCCCGCGGTTATGTTGAGCGGCCTAGATAAAGAGGTTTGAGTGATTATTTATCAGTATCAAACCTAACGAAAATTAATTTATTCAATGTTGTCCACATTAAATTGCATCTGCAGCAGCATTGTGAACTTTTGTAAAGATACGTTTAGCCATTACTTTTTAAGTGTATCATTATATTCAAATTTTAAACGGGAGGAGAGTATCCGCATGAAAGACCCACAATTGGCAGATCAACATGCTCTGGAACGGTATGAAATCAAATTAGATAGAATGGAGGATTTTAACTGTGACAAGATGATTGACAGGGCAGTTTATGGTGACAGCATGCACACAGCACACGACAGAGCTGTCCGTTAAAGATGACTTGATAGTATGTCCCAAAGCTTGCCTAGTCTTTTGCTACACACTCAAAAGTATGTACTTTTTCTTCACAAAAAGGGTACATACTTTTAGGGCGTAGTATAAGTAAGTGAGTTTGGACACAGGGTGGGTGACAAAGAATGACAGATCCACCGCAGATGTCAGCGCGATCGGTCAAGATGGCCGCCACCATGCCCGATCCAGAGTCTCATCCTTTCTTTTACTGTCTAAGGTCTCATCCCGCCAACGAGACCGTCCTTCCAGAGTCTCGTCCTGCTGAGACCGCCATTCCAGAGCCTCTTCACATCATGCCTGCCGAGCCTAAGCTTTATCACATCATGCTTACCGAGTCAGAAACTGTTCATGCCATGTCAACCATGCCTGTGTCTTCGAACAAGATGGTCACAACACCTGAGTCAGCTCTGGAAGATACCACACTTATAGTTACCATGGCTATTTTGTTACTAGTTACTGAAAAAAGTAATAGTATAACTGAAGAGTTCAGATGCAAAAGCCTCGAAATGCCATTTGAAATTTTCTTCTTTAATGATGATTTTTATCAAACTTGTATATTTAAGTTAAGTATTTTCACTTAAATAACAATTAATAGGTAATTATCATTGCCATTTAAGTGAAATTACTGAACTTAAATATACAAGTTTGATAAAAATCATCATTCTAGAAGAAAATTTCAAATGGCTCTTAGAGGCTTTTGCATCTGAACTCTTCAACTGTAACATGTTACTAGTAACACATTACTGCCCAACACTGCTCAAACTTTATCATAACTTCAATTACATGCAAAATGTCAACATAAATTCACTCCTAAGTGTATATTGACAATAAATAACACATTATAGGATACACACACACACATTACATATCAAATTGGACGATTTTCTTCACAAAACCCTTTTTTTGCAGCATTATTTCAAAGGCCAACAAGCCTTAAAGTTGCAGTACACGCAAGCCTACAACAGGTAAAATTATAATTATTATTCATTATAGTCATTACATTAAAATAAGTGTACTTCTTAAAGCACGACAAAAGATTATTTAGACATAATGATTCAAATTGTAATTTAACTTTTAATTTGACATTAAAGAGCAATTTTTAAAAGCGTGTTAAATAATGAAAGTGTCTCACAAGTACACTTAATATTATTAAAGGGATAGTTTACTTTGAAATGAATTTTTGATATGTTTCAGCTTACCTCAAGGGCATCCAAGATGTAGGTGTCTTTGTTTCCACAGTATTTTCAATTTTGACATTTTTCAGTCAAACCAGTGTTGTCTGTCAGTAATATAATGGCCGGTCTATGGAGCCCACCTCAAAGAGCATGCACAGAGAAGTCAAAATGAAACATGATTTAATGACTTGTAAATGTAAGTACACATTGATGGCCTAAGACACGAAACGAGCGGTTTGTGTGAGAAAACGAACAGTATTTATATAGTTTTTACCTCTTGTTAACAGCTGTCGAACTGATCTGAATCAGATGTCCAACTGAACCGTCTCCAACGTGACGCCGGAAGTGATCGCGTGCGTATGTACGTCACACATTGTTTACATGGAGATTTCGGAAGTTTTACCTTTCACTAAACATATTATGTTTATGTTATATTTATATTATGTATACCAAAGGTAAAACTTCCGAAATCTCCATGTAAACAATGCGTGACGTACAGAAGTCCACTTATTTTATATTAAAGTACAGTTCTCTAAAATATATACTTTGAATAATTTAAGTAAAATACATCCAATACAATTAAGTATCTTTATTTTTCACAAGGGATTTTATTGGAACTACAGTCAGAGCTGTAAGATGAGAACAGAAACAAATTGAACTTAAACCATTAGACAAACCAACAACCAGAGACCTGCAAAAAAAACACATGTGCTGACAGAGGAGAGAACGTCATTAGTGTGAGTGGAACAGAGGGAAACTACAG